AAGGTTTCAGTGTTTCAGGTTATTTTAACTTTTAAAGCCCTGAGAATCAAAACTTTACTAACCTAGTCAGAGTTTTCAAAGCAAGCTTGAATGGTTATATTGTGCATCAGGAGCAATACAAGTGGCATCTTAGAATTTGTATAAGTGGCCGCTCTATAGCTTTAGCGATACGGGAACATGAGGAAGTTCCTGTTTCAGGAACTGGAAGGATAGAAAAGACTATGCCCTACTTCTTTGTCATACACTGTTATTGTGTGCGTATGTGATGGATTTTTCAATATATTTCTATAAATATAAATCATACATATTTAGTCTACATATACCTATTTGTATAAATATTCATGTGTATTATACATAGTTATTGCACATATACCTATTTATATAACTATAAAGTGTATATTTTAAAATCTGTTGTTAGAGGTCTTTATATTACTGCATAGACATTCTTGTTATATGGATGGGCTCTTCAACTTGTAGGTCCTGATCTGTTGGTTCTTCATACAGCAATGGGGAAAGTTTGTCATTTAAATCTGATTAAATTGTGATTCAAATATTACTGTTCTCGGTGCTGAAAGACTAACAATGTTCTTAGATTTTAATTTGGCTGCATGCTGCAGTTGTTATGGTGATTCAGATAAAATCACTGGTGTGCTGGTTTTCTCTGGATCTGGCTATGCTAGTACTAATATATCCAGCAAATTTCTTTTAAAAAATCCTTACTTAAAGTGAAGAACAAATACTGACTTACTTGAAATGAGGGGTCAAGTTTTAGGTGTAATTTTAATCTATTGGGGTTTTTTTGGTCACTGCTGCTTAGCATTATACTCATTCCTCAACATCCTTCTGGTTTTCTTTCTTAAATGAGAGGAAGAGTTGGCATCCTCAAAATGAAATGTGTTGAAATGATTTATGAAGGGAAAAGTTTTTCTAAATAGGAACATAATGAGTGTGTTTTGCTGATCTCCTTTTCTTCATCTGAAGCAGTTATTCTACCTATTTGTGCAGTGCAAGCAATGGGAGAGATCATCAAAGCAATCGTTTGGAGAGTGGAATAGGTTTGCGCCCTGTAAATTAGATTCTGCATCTTACTGGAAGCATCCTTGTTTTTAACATAATACTGTCATTCTAAATATTTCCGATAGATATTTTTAGGGATTTGAGATTAAATCCTCTCTCCATTGAACCAATGGAAAAACTTACTTGGGTCTAGATTTTTTTCATTTCTAGTCTGAAGAGAAATATTCCAAAATACCTGTATTAGAGCGAGAGCTTATGTTGTGACTGTGCTGAGTAAGAGGGGTTAACTTGTAAGTGGAGTAGTTCAAACATGCAATAGTAGATGGACTGGGGAATTTATACTGACTTGCCAGCACATTTTAAATTATCGCTATTTAGTGTTCACTGAGAATTTTACTCTTACTGTGATAGCTAACTCTTAACGCTTTTGACAGATAAGGAAAACAACCTTACTCTGAGTACAAAGTTCACCAAAAATTAATGCCGACTGCCTGTCTAATGTTTGAGTGTGATAGTTTAGGTGGACATGCACATATTTTCTGGAAATTCCTCTTTTGTCAATGTCCTTATTTAACCTCTCTTCTGACTGTGTACTTGTAATTTAGTAGAAGACAGTATCAATGATTTTTTTTTAAAAGACAACTATCATGTTGGCTCCTAAATGCAGGAACCAAAATACATTTTCCCCTGCCTGCACTGATCTTTTCTTACTGTGAGTTAATGAATGTCTTGTAATTTATTCTGTCTAGGAAGTCCCTTTTAAAGACAAGGAACCAAAATAGATTGCCTGGAATTTTTTTCATTCTGCAAACAAGATAGGACTGTGTAACAGTAGGTGCTTTGCATCCAAACTGTTAGATTCAGTACAAACTGCATATAAAACCTTTGTTAACACAGCAGAATTACAGAAAAATAAAAATGTCAGTTCCAGAAATTCAGCTGTACTTCAGTTTAGGGAGTTTTTAAAAATTGTTCTTTAACTTGGTAATCCAAAAGAGTTGAAATACTTCCTGTAGTGAAGAGCACAGTTATTTATTTCTCCACTAAATCACAACATGATATTCTGTAGTTCTGAAATCCATCAAGAGCTATCTGCTCACAGAACAAGATGATCTGAACAGGCAGAAAGCATTGCCATCAAAACCCCTTGACAGGCATAATCTGTATTTCCAGTTGTAATGAAGATCTCTGACACTTGGAAGAGTAAGAAGTGAGTGGAGATTCAAGCTCATGTTTTGTGTAGTTTATTCCGAGGTCTCTGAGGAGTTCAGCTTTGAATTTGAATTTCATTTTGTTGAGGAATCTTTTTTAATTCACTTGAGGAGACAAAAAACTGTACAATCTGCTCTGGCAGTCAGCTCTGAAAACTTGCATGTATTTCTTTGTTCCTGTTGACTGCTGAGCTTCATTAGAAGACTTCATTTCTCATTTGCAGACATTCTGTGTAATGCATATATATATTAATGACAAACAGGGAAATTGAAGTGCATGTTTATGCACGCATTTAGGTATGGATTTACATAAAAAATCCATTCTATTTAATTAAAAAATGAGTTCCGCTTTGTTCATTCTGTGAAGAGGGAGAAAAAGAGCTGCGAGATAGGTCTCTTCTGTAGTCCCACCCCCCTGTTATGGTCGATCTTGGGTTTAAAGTGGAAGATGAGAAAAAAAAAAAAATTTTTTTTTTTTTTTTTAGTTGCCTTAGCTGTACAGTTTGCACACACAGGCTTAAGAGAAGAATTTTACTGAGGCTCCATTTACTCAAAAACTCAGAAGTGATAGAACTGAGATTCTCTCTACCCCATTATTATTGCTTTTGTACATGTGCACTGCTCAGTTTCAAGATTTTTCAAGAGCTCTGGATTTTGGCTTTTTTTTTTTTTTTTTTTTTTTTAAGGCAACTCGGTGTTCTTATAATACTTTGGTTTTGAAAAATGTTTTTTTCTATGCAAAGGATTCCTAACTGCAATTGATTTAAGTCTGCAAACTGAGCTGTAGAAATCAAGCAGAATGTCTAGAAGATGAGGAACAGTTAGGGTGAGTTTCATCTGCATTAAGTCAATTATCTGCAAGTTAGAAGTCTGAGCTAGCTCTCTTCAGAGACGATGGAAGGAAACAGATCGGATGAATCATCCTTGGCAGGTGTCTCTTTTCTCTGACTATGCAGGATGCTTAGGAAAACTGTCTTGGAGATCTTTGCTTTTTGACATGTAGTCAGCTGACATGAATCCCACCTGCAGTGACTACTTTTTCAAAAGTTTGACTTAACTCTTTGAAATGAAATCACTAGGAATTCTTTAAGTTGGAGGAGGGGTGGAAGGAAGTTGCGTGCTGTCCTTCCTGTTGGATTGTCCTTTTTATTTTTCCTGCGTCGTTGTTGCTTCTTCCCTTTCAGCCTCCGCAATATGAGGTGGTACTTCTACAAACAGCGATCTATTAAATTACACAAATGTGATGCCTCCTTAGAAACCAGGGTACTTCCTACACATGATCTTCTTGAGGAGGAATAGTATGTCATAATGTAAATCAGGTCTACCATAAAGTATATCTGTAAAATGGATTACTTAGGGCCGCTTAGGCAATCTTATTTCTGCTTTGTCTGAGTTTTGTGATCTCCTCTCGTGCACACAGAAATTGCTATATTATAATACGTATTTTTGAAAGAAGCAGACTAGTGTAAAACAATATTATCATCAATGTCGCCAACACCAGTTCAGTTTGTTGAATGTGGAACAGTCAGAGCCTGCAGAAATCCCTGTTGCTGGGAGTATCTGATAGCAGCTGAGGTGTTGATAGCATATAGTGAGCTAGAACAAAGTGGTTCTTTAGCAAATTTATGCTGTCGTAAGAGCGCAGGAGACAGATCTCTCAGCTGTATTCTGGACTTCAAAAAGGAGTACTCCTTAGTGAATACATGGGTTTTATGTAGCTTGAGCTGTCCTACCCTTCTTTCATTTAAATGTTTTGTAATTCATTATTGTGATTGGAGCGCAAAATACAATTTTAATTCTATAAGTGCTTGGAAGCAACAATGTCTTAGATACTTATTTACAGTATTTCCCTGTCAGGAACAATGCCTTGAAGGTATTCACTGAAATCTGAGGGACCCAGGGTTTCCTCTGTATTCAATGGAAAGAATCTCCTGCAGAGGGTGAATCCAAACCCCTCTCTGTTGACCATGCACTGAAATAAAATACCCGATTCAGGACATTAGCATAGATGGTCCTTGACTATCTGTTTTAAAACTTAGGAACTGTGCTTTATTTATTGCTAAGGTTACTCCTCCTGGAAGAATACAGTAATCATTCTGTAAACGGTGTTTTCAGCCAGCCAGTTTGAATCTGGGCAGCATCAAATTGTATGATATAATCCTCTTCTGTATTGCAGATATTTACATGAAGCTTCTAACATTTTAATTTTCTTATAATCTGTGATTTGCAAAGGATAGCAGGGAATTCCTATGGTTTACGTGTGTACTAAATGGCAGGCAGTTTCTCTGCTCCTTGTATGGATGTTAATTCCAGTGTTTCTCTCTCCTTTGGAAGTCAGATGCTCTTCTGTTTTTGCTTAATGGCATGTTTTGTTTAAAAGGCTCTATGGATTCTTGATAACTAACTACCAGTCAGGGTCTGGATTCCTTCCTCCTTCCACTGCCAAAATTAATCCTTTTTCTATTGCATGTCTTTTTTTTTTTTTTTCCTATCCCCTTGCATGATTATTCTTTGTGGGTTACTTACCTTTAGCTCAGGACTTTGGTCTTTCACCAGACCATTATTTTTTTGTGGCTATTTTCAAGATCTCTCGTATAATATGAGGAATAAGAAAGCTTGAAATTGATACAGCAAGTAGCAAGGCTGATTTCTTGTGGCATTTTCTTGTCATTTGTGGGTTTTTTTCCATAGTTGGCCACAGTCGTAGAAAGAGTGACACCGTGTGTTAAGGTGAAGAATTTAACTTTTCTTGATTTATTTCCCATTTCTTCTTCAGTACTCTCAACCTTTACAGTGTTTTTATTTTATCATCCATCAAATGTTTAAGATTTTCTATGTGCTTGCTTTGTCATGCTTTTTTATTTCCATGTATGCATTTTACGGCTCACTAGTTTATTGCTAAATGTCCTTCAAAAGAAGTTGCAGTATCCTTAAACAGTTTCCTTTACCGATAAATTTGTGGTTAGATTTTGTTCAGTAATTTTCAAAATGCATGTGTGGAAAAAAAGAGTTGGTGAAAGTGACTGGAAACCTAGAGGGGTCTCCATAGGAAAAGAAGATGAAGGGTAGTACTGTGAAGATGCTGATTGTGAGGATCTGTGGTAAACATGCACTATAGTGCCAGGAATAGCAAGGTTGTCCCTATTACTGGGAAAAAGAAGTAAATAAACAAAAGGTGAAATTGAAAGGCAGGATTTATCAGTAGCACTCATTGCAGTCAAGGGCATAAAAATATTTAAAAGCAGTATTTTGCAGTTAGTATAGTTTCTGAGATTATTCAACATCCGTTAGGGTAAAATTAGAGGCTTGCATGTGTTAGAGTGTTACCTAGTGTCACAGATGGAGTGAGAAGGAGGCAAAACTAATGTGGTTTATTGGTGTAAAACACTTGAGTTAACAAAGTTCAGTGGTAAGTACGACAATAGTTTGAGATTCGATGGCAAGGTACACTTTGTTATTTACTGCACAGAGGACAGGGTCAGACAAGACTGTCAGGGAGACCCTCCCGTTGAGTCATGAGGTTCAGAAAAGATCCCCTTGCTTTCTAAACTCCCTCAGAGAGGAGTCTAGGTGCGGCTGGATCCAACCCTAGTCCCAGCCTTCGTCAACAGTTTATGTCTAAAGGATTATATAGGCGCAATCAATCCTTTATGTCACTTAGCTAAGATTTCCAAGTTAGCATGCTGTTAGTTACTTACCGAGAATCTGCTGTGGTAAGGAATTGCTCAACCTTGAGGAGTAACCCTTGAGAGGCGTCCCTGCTCAAGGGGAGATCCTGGCGTGCAGCCCGCTGCCGTGCAGGAGAGCTCAACGGGCTCTTGGGCTGCTCACTATTTATGGGGGTAAGATAATTGGCTCATAGTCATATTTGCATACTGACCACTGTGCTTAGGTGGGCACATTCCACAATAGCCCTTGGCTATTGTATTGTTATCTGCCTCCCCCCACATCCACTGGGTGCATCCTTCATGACCAGACACATCCGCCACAGGTGGTTATCCCTTGAAAGAGGTCAAAGGAGGGGGAGTCAGAGATGAGGGGGGGTAGCACGCCGCCACACCTAGTCAGGAGCACTTGAGGGACTGAGGAGCCAAATCTGATTTCCGGATGTGTGTGTCCTGGCAATGACCCCTGTTGACGTTTCAGGTGCAGCAGTGTGCTGCTGCCTATGTGCATACAGGGGAGAAGGTATTCAGCTGCTGGGTGATGTTTTCTGCTTGAATGATTCTTGAGGAAAAGATACTAGGCTGGAAGGAAGCAAAATCTGCCCAGGGCCTGTCAGTTAGGCCACACATGAGTCAGTCCATGGGTGCTTTGGAGGAAGAGACAAGGAATGCTATTAGAAAGAAAAACTTTGTTCCACAACATTGCTAAAGAAAAGGTGCTAGGCTGAATCACAGAAGCTTGCTTGGTTGGTAACTGTGATGTATTCTCTCTTTGCCTCCCTCCTATTTTTGTTTGTTTGTTTAGGTTGAATTTTCCTATCCTCCCCTAAAGCCTGGAGAAGGACACGACAGCCACAGCTTACCAGAGGAATGGAAATACTTGCCATTTCTTGCCTTACCGGATGGCGCTCACAACTATCAGGAAGGTAAGAAATGCAGGAGGAAGTTGTATGTACGACTACTACTGCAACCAAAAGAAAAATCCTGGTATCTGAACAGTTGGTTAACAATTCTTTTCACTCTTAGGCTTCCTGTCCTTTTAAGCTGCAAAATACTTTGGCAGTGATGTTGCTTCAGAGTTCAAAGTGAAAGTAGATCATAGAGGCGTACCTCCTACATCAAGAAATCAGATGTCAATAAAAGTTTAAGGGTTACCTATTATTCGTGTGTATTCCTACTGCAAAACAAGGCTGCCGGCTTTCTTAGAAGGTCTTTGAAGGGGGAATAAACTCTTGAGTAAAACCTAATCCAGTTTTGAGGTAAAAGAAAAATGAAATTCTAAAATTAGCTTTGTAATGTATATAGTCATTATGATATTTTTTTTTTCCCTTCCACTAATTTAGAGATTCTTAGAATGACCTACAAGTCATCCAGTGTCTGTAGAATGACATATTTTGCAAAAACAGCAAATGTAAAGGGCAGGAACAGGAGCTTTAGTGTATTTGTCAGCAGAATGAAGATAGAATGATTCCTTTGCCATGTAGTTACCAGCAAATTCACTGCAGGTTTTTTATTTTTGTGAGTATTGCATTTATTTCGCTGTTTATTTGACAGCAGTTCATTTCATCACCATGACATTTATATGCATGTTCAGTTGTTTCATCTTTATTCTGCACAGCAATGAACAAGGAAGTCACTTAAGACCCTTTACAGTTTTACAATAACAGAAACCCTTTAATACTACTTTTAATGAGATTTTTTTTTTTTTTTTAACTTGATGTACTTGGTTTCTTAATTCTCCAGCTTCTAGAGACCTCATTTGGAAGCAAAGGAAGTAATAGCAAAATAATCCTCTTCCTAGCAGCAATAAGAGCCTCTCTGACCTGCTCTGGGTCATGATTTTTCTTCAATTTCTGTGTTGTCAAATACATAACAAGCAGTAGGCTGCATCCAAAGCCAGGAAAATCATATGCCGCTGCACTTACCTGTTCCCTCTTGGCTCAGTACCATCCCAGTTAACGCTCAACATTGAGAATTTTCATTCCTGCACTAAAAGATTATCCATCTGTGCTTTTTGGTAAGGAAAACCAAAAAGACTTGGCAACAAAACTGATGTATATCCTTGTGTTTTGTAGGTAAGAATACATACGAACTTGGAACAGGGAAATATGTTTCACATAGTAGTTATGTTACATTTACTGTAACTTTCTTAGATATATATTTTTGAGTTTTAAACAAATCCCTGCTGATAGTTGTATTTTTGCAAAGAGGATGACTTAATACAAGAAATAGTCTTAAAGGCTTTCCAGAACCCTAGGTGATCTGCATAATATAATTAAACTTGTTCAAGGGAATAAGATTCATTATAAACAGTCCCTCTTTCTGTTAGACTTCATGCATTAAGGGATTGTCTCTTCTGTTCATTTTATTACTATGAAGCAAACAAAAAAAAAATAGTTTCAAAACAAATTTCACTCATGTTTTGAAAGGTGGTCATAATGTCCCCTCCTTTGCTTAGGATTTAGCAACTTTTTTTCAGTATTAGCAAGTGCATATGTATATGTATGTGTGTGTATACCTCAAGCCATAAATACCTTTCTCTTCTCATACTTTATAGATTTTTTTTTTTTTTTTCATGGCACACTTGCACAGAGACAGCAATCATTTTGTTTGAGACTAGGAGTCACAAATCTGTGTTGTTAGCATAGTGGTACTGCTGCATGGATATCTACCTTGGCAGTGCTAGCAGCTACTCTAATCTTTCAGCTGTATTCTCCTTGGTGGTCCCGTGTCTGTGTCCGCCCCCCCTTTCATTGTTAATGGTATCACACTCCAGCTGTACACCTTGCCTCATAGTGCCTTGTCTTTGCTCCTCTGTACTGAATTGGGAAAGCAGCATGCCTGTAGTTTTCAGTGGTGCTTCTTTGCTGTCAATAGCTGCTTCCGAGAACCTGTCAGAGGGCTTATAGGAGCTTGATCAGGCTAAACATGAGACTGTTGTCAGAATATCCGTGTTGGCAGAGCTGGAGATTCTTCCACAAAGCATCTTGCAATTTGTAAACTAATTTGGGTGCAGGCATAGGTTTATAGAAGACTTTTTCTTTCTTTTTTTTTTTTTTTTTTTTTTTTTTAAAGTCTCAGAATATGTGTGCCAATATTTTCAGTGGTAAACTTTTTACACATGGTGCTGAGAATAAAAATCCTAAACTTTTGTTAGTGACTTATGAAACAGTCTTTTCTTTTTCATAGATACCGTGTTTTTCCATTTGCCACCAAGATGTGGGGATCGAACCACAGTATATGGCGTCTCTTGCTATAGACAGATTGAAGCGAAGGTAACTTTCCATATTGTGAATTATATTAATGAAATAATAGGTTTGATGCATTGATGACCCTAAAATTCAGTGGTTTGTGTTGCACCCATAGTCAAACTGCGTGATCAGCTTACGTTAAAAAAAATCTGTGAAAATGTTCACAGTAGGTAGCTACAGAACTTGAGAGGTGTTTCTTTCCCTTGTGTCAGCAGGCATATTGTGATCTTTTGAAATGCTCGAGGCAATCAAAAAATATGTTTTCATTCTCAAGAGCTAATCCAGGCATCAGCACCAAGTAGCAAAATGAAGCTGACACTCTGTCAGGCGGCCAAGTGATTTTTTCCTGGAAGTAGGCCTCTTGGGTGGAAAAAGTTGAAATTTCTCCCATGTGTGACTATAAAGAATTTTAGAGTATTTCCTGGGGTCTGACCAAGGCAAGCATAGGGATGTTTCTCTTCACCTACCTTCTTTGCCAGAAGTACACCTGCAGAGTAGGCCAGAATCTTCCTGTTCATTGTAGCTGAACTTTTAGCAGTACAGCTTAAAAACTGATGAGAGCTACAGTGTGCACCTGATCACAGTGAGGAAATTGTGTACTTGATCCGCTAGAATATGCCTATGTCTTCAGAAGTAGTAATGGTAGTATGCTCTGTGCACTTACAGTTGAGAAGTTATTACAAATTTCTTTTAAAATTTTTCCCTTTTCCAGTGAAATACCAAGAATCTGGAATGCCATGTGGGTTTGCTTTTTAAATGAGTCTTGTATTCAGAAGATGTAAATTATGTAGTCTGTTTTAGTGTTAATCATACCTTGATTGTATTTCAAGTTCCTGTTTATGCTATAGGGGAAATGCAGATTTTAATTCCATTTCTTTTGAACTAAATCCATGTTGATTTTAGTTCACTCATTACCTTTGCAGCCAGTCTTCACTGTATTCTGTGATTTAGAGTCTTGTTCTATTTAACTATGCAATAACTTGGCTTTATTGTGCTCTTGATTCCTGTTTATGCTGTTTAGTAACCAATTAAGAAGAAGATAAATAGATGTTTAAAATGAACTCTTTGAAACAAGTCGAATATAAAAGAATGTGTTTAATTTGACATGTGTCCTTTTTGATTAGTGGGCTGCAGTCTGCACACTTGCTGTTTTGTACAGTTAAGTGAAATCACTTGGCTGTGTTTCTGCCCCCACCCTTTCTAGGTCTGCTGTTAAGCGCTGGGACCATTTGGTCTGGCTGACAATGTAGTTGATTTTGCAGATGATACTTCCTTTATTTTATGGGAGTCTCAAAGAAAATCCTTGAGTATAAAGCAAACAATTTCTAGGCAAAGGCTTCTCAACCTGGTCCATTTCACAGAAAATGTTAAGAGAAGAACAAGTGATGTGTTGTGGCTTCTCTTCTGTTACATTACCCTGAGTTAAAATGCCATTGCCTTTTCCAGGGCTATTGCCTTTCTCTCATGCTAGTGTCTTTTAAACAGTCCTCTGCATATCATCACAGCTTTATTTGGATCTTTGTTGTGCAAAGCGGGATGAGAACACAACTCTGACATATCAGTGTTATGACCGTTTTTACTAGGTAAGGGCATACTGTTGCATGGTTTGGATATTCCACCATTGAAGGCAGTCAGTTTGAGGATTTCGTTAAATAGGGGGGTGGTATGTGGCAGCTAAACCTGTGAAAGAATTCTTTTTGAAATTGTGTGTGGGTAAAACTACTGTAATACTTCTGTTTCTTAGGCATTAAAAGTACGGCAAGCAGACATCACCCGAGAAACAGTACAGAAAAGTGTCTGTGTTCTCAGTCAGCTGGTAAGAATGTTTGTTAACTCCCAAAACACTTAAAATAACATATTAAAAATTATTTGTTTTCCGTATTCTTATTTGTAACTCTTGGATCCAAACATCTCTCTTTAAATCATTGCAGAGGGCAACAAAATACTGAAGTAAAATTGAATCGGAAGGCTATGGCATTTGAGTGAGCTGCCTTGAATTGGTATTTCCTTGTGAGAGTAATTGTACAAGTGTCTGCCTGTTGTCAGGGCCCAGGATATCTATTTGCACTTTTGATTATTCTTAAGTGCTACTAACTTTATTTCATGTAGTAGGATTGAGGGGTTTGGCCATTATAGTAACTGGAGAGAGTGGCTATTGACAACTGTGAAAGAGATTTTAAGATAGTCACACATATTCTTGTTTTGAAGGAACATCTGGTATTTCTACCTATTTAGTAAAAGCTACTGATCACCATGCAGGGAACAGAAATTCTTTCTGTGCTTAAAGCTGAAGAAAGAACTATTACTGGAGCTGCACAAGCAGTGTTAAGGCAGGAAAGTACTTTTCCAGAAAGATGTTCAGTGATGGTATGTGCAAAAGGGAAGAAAATAGAATTGTCGTCACTTAAAATGAGCACAGAAGGATGCTGTGAGTTAGCAACTAAGGACTGCCCCTTCATGAACTCAGTGTAACAATGGGTCTATATTGCAAGATAAGAATGGGAGAAGATTAAAGCTCAAAATGAGTGTCTAAATAAGGTTTTTTCACTTGCTTTTGTGTTTGTTTTTCTTCCAAGCCTTTGTATGGGTTACTTCAGGCAAAGCTACAACTCATTACGCATGCGTATTTTGAAGAAAAAGACTTCTCACAAATTTCAATTCTAAAGGTAACTTTTAAGTAATAGCACACAGAGCAAAGCTTTCAGTGTGTGGCTACAGACTTTAGTGTTTTTGATTAGCGCTCAAAATATTCCACTTGCATGGGTCATTTAGTTATTCAGCTCTTGTAATAACTTAACATAAACTAAATGAACTACCCTAATCAGATAGAGGGTCAACTTCTGTTTTGTAGTGAAATATAAGAACAAGTGTGATTGTCAGCCTGTATCTCCGTTGACTCTGTTAGCAAGATTTTACTTTAATTCCTGAAAAAGATGTTGAAATCCTTGAATAAGTGAATTCTATTTATTCTGGATTTTGTGTGACTGTGTTCCATTAATGGATTCTGGGTTTTTTTTGCCTTTGTTCTAACTTTTACAGGAACTTTATGATCATATGAATAGTTCCTTGAGCAGTACTTTGCTAGAAGGGTCACAAGTTTATCTTGGTAAGTGACTTTTTTTTGTACAAGCAGCAGAGATAATGTTACGCTAATCAACATATTCCCTTCCTGAGCTAATTTGTTTATGTGCATTAACAGATTAAGTACCAGAGGTCTGTGTGCCTGCACAGTATTCTGTTACGCATTTCTTTATTAGTGGATATAAATAAATGTCAAATAAATGTAGTGTTGCTTTCATAACAGGAGTTAGTTGTAGGTTGAAAGCCATGTTACCTCTTGACAGTCTGACAAGCAACTGCTCGGCTACTTTTGGGAAACAGTACCTTCTTAATTTTCAGATGGAACTGTTTGATGGTATGGGGTGCTCAAGTTTTCATCTACCTGTTCTTTGGGATATCTCCTATTTGATTCTGACTCTTCCTTGTGATTTCTGAATGCGCAGTGTAGTATTTACTTCAGTGTTTCAATAATGCTGTGTGGCAGCCAACAGGAGTAACTCAGAGCATGACTATTCATATTATTATTGTCTCCATTGTAGATTTAACTCTTGCTCCTGTTCAAAAGAAGGAATTTGATATGAGTTCTGCTATTGAAATAACTTGGTTCACATAGAATGTATAATGGGTGTCCCTCTCCCCCTGAAAAATGATGACAAGTTAAGTATCTGTACTAGCTACTAAACAGCAATAGTTACTCTCTTTTTGGTATCTCAGGTCTGTCTCCTCGGGATCTTGTTCTTCACTTCAGACACAAGGTAGGTGTTCTCTTCCAGCTATATAAAGCACAACTCTTATTTTGTAGAGTAAAATGCTTTGTGAGGAAATGAAAAATAAACGTGTCTAGACATACCTGAGCTAGGAGTAAGAAGATTGTTTCTAAGGGCTTCTGGTTACAGCATTCTGGTTTCCCTTGCCCTTCCGCCTGCATAACATCAGTGAAAGTAAGTTCCAGACTGAGAAGTTTTGTCTGTCTGTCTGGATTCCTTGGAGATTTTTAGGTTTGTGGGACATTTCTTTTGCCCAGTCCCAAAGTGCAAGTGGTATCTTAGTGATGGTCTTGTTTCTATTTCCTGCTTCTCATCAGATGAATGCGATAGAATAATGTTGCTAAAGTCTGTGCAGACACAACTTGGAGGATTTTTCCGTGTATCTTGTAATTTTTGCAGCTTCTGTCATGATAGAACCTGAGGGGACTTGCACCTCTCCTTTTTCCTAATGACTATTGAAATTTAATGTGTATCCTATAGCTAAGGTACAAATAGTATTTAGAATCTTTTATTAACTGAGAGGCATCAAGGAAACAAATTTGAGAATCTGGATTTCATGGTGTATTTGTGCCTGCTCAGCAGATCTTTGGGGTAGAACTCATTTTTGTTTAACTTCAGATGTCTGCCAGTCATGCCCCAGTAGCATCAGTGTTTTTCTTTGAGTGTAGAGAGTCTGGATAGCCACTTCTGATCTATGTGCCTCATCTGTAGATGCCTAAAATTTGGTGAGGTGAACGCTATTCTTGGTATTTTGCTGAATTCTTTTCTATATTTCTGCAAAGGAACTCTTTTATGTTTATGCCATTTACTGTTTTTTAAAATTCTGGAATTACACAACATGTTCTTTCTGATAAGCTTTGTATGATTCAAATTACACAATTCTTGTTTGTGCAGGTTTTTCTTTGTGCATCTCAAATGCTGTTTCAAAATGAGTGCTCAGGTGGAACGCTGTTTTTCACTGGTCAAATGTATTTGATCGTTTGACAGTTACGCGGTGATTAACGCGAAATCTTGAATAAGAGATTGTGCTTGCACAGTATTTGTGACAAATGGCACTGGTTCACTAACCATGTTTTTCCTTTTTTTGTTTTTTTCAGGTCTTGATCCTTTTTAAATTGATTCTTCTAGAGAAAAAGGTAACATTTTGTAGGCTGAGGCAGGTAATTGAAATAGAAATGCAATTGCTAATTTTTTTTCATATGAAGCTATGTAGAGTATACTAGTGAAAAACAAACTGAAGTAAAAAAAAAAGTATACTTTGCATCCATATATAAATTGGGAAATTATGTTAAAAGTAACTTCTGTTTGTTGACATACAAATTTGCCTCCACTTCTGTTCTGTCCACACTCTGCCTTATTGATAGCTGTCCCAGCCAGAGTAAGTAAAATGTGATTAAATGCGAGTGCATAAACGTACCGTACATAAAAGACAGGAAGGGATATACATAATGCAAATAGGTACCTGTGTGAAGGAACCGATACGAAATGCTGGTACCTAAAAGGGAGCATACAGCTTTACAGGGGTTCAGTGAGCAGAACTCCTGGTTTGACTTTTAAATAGGCCTACCAAAGGAAACAAGCGCTGGAAGTGTCCTTTGGACCTGAATTGCATGGACACTTGCAGGAGACAATGTAACAGAGCTGTATCTGTTACGCCAGACTGAGCTCAGACTGTAAACTGGTAAAAACTGTTGAATTCTAGGCTCCGTGTTTTCTTGGGGCTATCTTACTGCCTCAGAAGCGATGCTCTCTTAGCAATTTAAGTGGAATATGCAAAATGTACAAGCAGGTGTAAAATACTAGATACATTTGTTTTCTTCTGTGCCTATATTAATACCCTGGAATAAGAACATTCAGTGAAATGACTATGTATCGGCTCCCAGACACATTTATGCAGGGATTATTTTTTTGTTTGTTTTGCTTTTTAAAAAATTTTTGTTTCAGTTTCCCAAATATTACTTTTTCTTCAGTGCACCTGGTGTGTTAAAACCCAGATTCTTCAGAGTGCTGAAAAAGAACATTAGGTTTTCCTGTTAGCTGCAACTGGAAAGTTAGTAGGACTTAATCTGTAAGACATCAAAACAGTAGTGGTTTTTTTTTTTTTTTAAATCTATCTATACGGCCTAGGTATCTTTTGTGAGGCAGTAAATGTGGCTTTTAAAAATAAAAGTAGCAGCTTCTCCAAAGCTTTTGCACTTGCCACTTAATTCTGTAAGTCGGATATACCTTGACAGTTCTAAGTATTTATTGGTGAGAATACATCCAGTTTCTGCATTAAAGAGCCATTTGCTAAAGACTGCTATATTAAAGGCTATGCAAAAGGTATACTTGAGAAAATATGATTATGACACAGTAGGATTACAGATGTAGAAATGTATGTAATCAAGACTCGATATGCAAGCTGAAAGTGTACAGTGATTTTTATTTTTTTTCCCCCAACCATAAGTGGAAAAAATATTTTCCAGTTAGGGTTTTGTAAAGTATCTCTACAGATCTGTTTAAAAACTTATGGTAGCATTTCATCAGGTCAGTTCAGCATTTGGACATATATAAACAAAATACCGAGCTGCAGTTCTTTTCTGACGCTGCTCAAACCACAGGATATAAATGCACAGGAAGAGGGGAGAGGGAGGGTTTCCCAGGCATGTTCATATGACTCAAACATACAAAATTGTTTTGAAAATAATCGGATGCTTATTCAATAAACCTGCAGGTTGCTTTGTTTTTATTTTTTCCTAAGCTCAAACAGGAAGACAACACTTGGAATTTCGAAAGGAAGAGTTTTGTGTTTCTGGCACTGCCTGGTTTTTCTGGCAGATGTTAAGGTTCCAGAATAACTGTGGGAATCTGTATGTTAAAAGACCTTAAATATAATATGCAAGAAGCCACTAGTAATGCTAGTAATGCCAATTTTCCTTGAGCTGAAAAAATGCCTGAATGCCACAGACCAATTTCCTTTAATCCTTAGCATTTTGGTTGATGCCTTTCCACAGGCTACAGGAATTTTTTTTTCACCTCTCAGCTGTTATTAGGCTGGAAGACTACTTCCAGATGGTAATCATCTGACTTTCTGCCTCCAGGACCACCCAGCTTGCTGATGTAAATTTTGTAGACCATGTAACAGGGTTGGGAGGGGTAAGGAAGTGTGCACCCATATAGATGGAAAGATGGCAGAGGGACTTGATGGAACAAATATAGGAAAGTACTTGGCTTAAGTAAGCGGTATACCCAAACGAAATCCTAGACTGAAATAGATTCCTTGAAAACAAGGTACTTTTTTATAGACTTACTTTTAAGCCTACAGAAATAATTAAGTTTGACTAGGAATACATGGTATCTAAGAATCTAAACCTGTAGGGGTATCATAGGGTTTCTGTTGTAGTTCATTGCTGTTATATCATGCGTCTTTCACACATGCATTATTGAGCAGCAGCTTAAAAGAAGTTAGACTTTTTTTATTCCCATTGGAGTCAGCCGAAAGTCTTCCCTCAGATGAGCTGCTTGTTCTTTGCATCTTGTGTTTTCTGTGGTTGTTGCAATTTAAATTCACTATCTTGAACACAGAAAAAAGAAAAACTGTGCAAGATAATATGCATAGTCTACTTCTAGCTGAGATACCATGAAACATTGTTTGGTATGTGTTAGGACTGCATAGGTCTTTCTCTTGGTTCCATCAATTCGCTAGCTTGTAGACTTGCAAATACTAGTGGAGCATGAGTTATTATTCATCAGCCACTTCTGAAGTGGCTTGCTAGCTTACAGCAGAAGTCTTTTATTAAGTCTAAGTCTGCAAACTTACACTTTTAATTTCATCATACACCTACTAAACTGGCCTGCGAAGTCATCAAGTTAGATCATTCTGTATTCCTCTTCATTGTTGATTCTTTGTAATGCTCATTTATTTTTTGTTAGTAGTGTGCTCCTTGGGGATCTAAAAATGGCACTGTGAAACAAGTTGATTGTCATGGGGTTTTTTTGGTTTTGGGTTGGTTGTGGGTATTTTTTTTTTTTTTCTTCTCTTCTCCCTGAAGGTCTGTCTTGGAGGAGCTACAGAAGTAATATTCAGTCTGCCTTGTGTTTCTTCTTTCATTTCTAGCCTTTGACACCCTCCTTTTGAATTCCAAATTTACTAATCCCAGTGTCTCTGATTTAATGAAGGAGATTCTGTTTTCCCATGTTATGACTTAAGTGCTTTACTGGAGTTAGTATCAGTCATGTCTCCTGTTTCCAAAAAATCTTTTTTATTAATCATAAGAAGATACCTGTGATAAATGTGTGCTGCATTTATCCTGTTTTTCACTTATCTGCGTATTTTTAATCTATTTTCTTAGAAGAGATGTTTTTGCGTAGGTTTTTGTCAGAATTCTGGAATGGAGATTATTTGGCCTCTTTGATTTATAACAGAGATTTTAATGTACTACAAATGAGCAAGAATTTATGTGGCATGCCAGGAACAACTTTTTTCTGTCAGTCATTCAGTAACTGGATCAATTTGGGGAAAAAAATCTGAACAACACAGAAAAATCTGAATGATTTACAAGTATATGTTACACACATGTGTATATAGAGAACATATGTATTACATATATGAAATACAAGGATACGATAGACGTATTTAAATACTTTGAACTGTTGTAAGAGCTTTTGTTGGTAAGCAGGCTTTCTAAAATAACATAAAAAGCAATGTCTTGAATAGTTTGCATGTGTTCTGTCTGTCTTTGTCATGCTTAAGTATAATTTCATTTTTCTCATTCTCTCCTCCCTAATTCCCCTTTCTTCTTGCACACTCTCTTCCCCCCGTGCCCCTCCCTCTGCCACCAGGTGCTGTTTTATATTTCTCCAGTAAATAGATTGGTGGGAGCTC